CTCCTAGAAAACGCTCTCCAGTGCCTGCTCCTAGAAAGCGCCCTCCAGTGGCTGCTCCTCGAAAATGCCTGTCCTCCCACCTGCTCCAGCCTCCTCCAGCGCTGTCGTCTGGCAGCCCCTCTGCTCGCCCTCAGCCCACTATCAGCACGGTGCGAGCTCTGCAGGACTGCCATCCTCCAGCGTCACCGTGGCTGAAGTATCCCTTGACTCCACCTCCAGCCTCTAAGCCCCGGACTCCGCTTCGGCCCGTTGACCCGTTGGCTCCACCATGGCTCCTAACTCCCTCCTCTCCGCCATGGCCCGGCAGTCCACTAGCTCCACCGGGCTCCCTCGTCCTATTGGTCTGGCATAGACCATCCTGCGCTTCGGGACTCCACTCCTCCGGCTGCGCCTTGTCCCTTCATCCCGCTGGCTCTGTCATCCCCTCAGCTCCTCCTCAGTCCTCTGTTGCTCCGGCTCCACCGCGTCCTTCCGGATCCCCGCCTTCGCCTCGGTCGCCAGCGCCATCTGCTCCGCCTTGGCCCTCCGGATCCTCCCGGTGGAATTGTTACGGCGTGGGACACGCCTTCCGAGAGGGGGGAGTAATGTCACGCCCTTGGACTGTTGTGTGTGTGTTTTCCCTCCCCATGTGCTCCGTGACCCAGTTCCTCCCGTGTCTAATTAGTAATGCTGTGCACCTGTATTCCTCCCAATTCCCTTGTTATGTCATGTAAAAGAGTTCCTGTCTGTGCATTCCTTGTTTGTCTGGTGATGTTCGAGTGTCATTCTCCCTTCCCGTTGTGGATTTACTCCTGTGTCTGATCATTAAAAGACTCCTAGAAAACGCTCTCCAGTGCCTGCTCCTAGAAAGCGCCCTCCAGTGGCTGCTCCTCGAAAATGCCTGTCCTCCCACCTGCTCCAGCCTCCTCCAGCGCTGTCGTCTGGCAGCCCCTCTGCTCGCCCTCAGCCCACTATCAGCACGGTGCGAGCTCTGCAGGACTGCCATCCTCCAGCGTCACCGTGGCTGAAGTATCCCTTGACTCCACCTCCAGCCTCTAAGCCCCGGACTCCGCTTCGGCCCGTTGACCCGTTGGCTCCACCATGGCTCCTAACTCCCTCCTCTCCGCCATGGCCCGGCAGTCCACTAGCTCCACCGGGCTCCCTCGTCCTATTGGTCTGGCATAGACCATCCTGCGCTTCGGGACTCCACTCCTCCGGCTGCGCCTTGTCCCTTCATCCCGCTGGCTCTGTCATCCCCTCAGCTCCTCCTCAGTCCTCTGTTGCTCCGGCTCCACCGCGTCCTTCCGGATCCCCGCCTTCGCCTCGGTCGCCAGCGCCATCTGCTCCGCCTTGGCCCTCCGGATCCTCCCGGTGGAATTGTTACGGCGTGGGACACGCCTTCCGAGAGGGGGGAGTAATGTCACGCCCTTGGACTGTTGTGTGTGTGTTTTCCCTCCCCATGTGCTCCGTGACCCAGTTCCTCCCGTGTCTAATTAGTAATGCTGTGCACCTGTATTCCTCCCAATTCCCTTGTTATGTCATGTAAAAGAGTTCCTGTCTGTGCATTCCTTGTTTGTCTGGTGATGTTCGAGTGTCATTCTCCCTTCCCGTTGTGGATTTACTCCTGTGTCTGATCATTAAAAGACTGTTTAATGCTTCTCCACGTCTCCTGTGTTCCTTCCGGCAGCGAACCGTGACACTTAGCTGGTCATTTTTCATATGTTTTTTTTTTCTTAATAATTTTCTTAGTTTTATTAATATTCTGAAGTATAGCAGGGACTTTATGTATAGGCTATGTAGGCTATGTATGTATGTATGTATCTATCTATCTATCTAAAATTAGACTTAGATTGGCAATCTGTCTGAGTGGTTTCCATATCTAGGAAAACACAGGATCGATAATCGATGAATAAAAATTAAAAACATTTATTTCAAACAGAAATAATACTTTTACAGTAGGCTATTACTATTTTTATCGCACTTTTAATAATTAATTGCTGCATTGTTGAAGAGAAGGACTAATTTCTTTATATATTGTTTTTATTTATTTAGAGAAAAAGAGAGAGCGTAACACAATAATAAGTAGCCTAACAATAATAAAAAGATAAAAACATAATTTTTTCAACTCCTTCCTTCAGTCATTCTAAGTTAAGCGCAGCATGGAAAAATACCAGCAGTCACATTGCTTTTGAAAATCATAATCCCAGTTTCTTCACGAATGAATAAACTTACCGTTAAAGATGGCAGTGCATGTGTGGGCATTCAGAATTAAAAACAGGATCGTTTTGATTTCCATAACAAGGTCTGTTTCTGTTCCTTGTTTCTAAAACAAAAAGTTCGAAGTTGAATTTTAGTTCGAAAGAAAAACAAACAAACACAAACAAATAGAAGCGGTTGTTTCGAGGATCAAACTGGCGCGTCAAGTATTGAGTCGCGGTGTGAACTGTAACTGCTCTTTCTGCATTGCTCTTGCGGTGTGGCGCGAGCGAGGATGTGCGTTACAATGTGATGACATCACGAGCCCTGTGTCCCAGTGCTGCTGGTATAAAACCCAGACGTTGTGTCTGACTGTCCCACAGATAGCCTACGTCTGTGTGGTTAATATGCCAAGCTAGCCATAGATAGATAGATAGATAGATAGAATGTTGTTTCTTAATCCGTCCCAGGTGAAAAAGACGCAGTATTAAATGTATTAAAAATATACTTGAAATTCAAGTAGTATGTTTATAATACATTTGTATTCCCAACATGCTTATTTGAAGTGCAATAAATTGTAAGAAGGGTTGCTTATATGAGAGCATACAGTACATCTGAAACTGCTGAGGCTGGGAAGGTTTTTGACTATATTACCGACCAGGTACATTGTTCTCAGCGTACTGTCATTCTTAAAAAGAAAACAAAAAAAAAATTTTTTTTGTCTGTGTGTGAAATATTAACATTTGTGTTTTTCAGATCAGCTGTTATAGAAGACAGACTGAAATCTGAGTGCAGAGACAAGCAAAGGAATAGTAAGTATATTTTCATGTTGTATCACCTCTGTTATAGAGATTTTTGAATCAGGCCTAATGGAGAGTGATTTGGTCAATCTTGGAAGAAAAACGTTAGCAATGTGTCCATTTCAGCTGGCTATTTATGCTTGCTTTCAGTCATTCATGTAAAAATCTGTTATTTAATTTTGTTTCTGTTTTGTTTTTTTCTAAAGCTGCAAGGCTCTGGTGCAAAATATTGTATGCCAGGAGTCAGGACGACTAGGCTGTGCCCAGGTCTCCGGGAACCTGCGACGACGCTCAGCTCCATCAGCGCCTTCGGACTCCATCTGCGCCTTCGGATCCACCAGCTCTGTCTCCATCGGTCGGCCCCCAGATGTTGGCAGCCACACCATCTACATCTTGGCTCCTCGCTCCCTCGATTCCGCCGTGTGTTGTCAGCACTGGGATGTTCTGGGTCTGTGCCATGTGCCAAACACCATCTAAGCTGCCAGGGCATCATCGTCATCCTCCCATAACCATCCCTTCGCCACATCCTGCCATCATCCCCGCATTATTGCCTCTCACCATCCCTACGCCATCTCCATGTCCACCTCCAAAACCCCCTCCATCCCTCCCTATTCTGTTGCTTGAACTTTATCATCTTCAGTCATTGCACACACACAGCTATTCACTTATGCACTTTGTTTTTCAGTCTTTTTAAACATTTTTTCTTCAGAAAATTGCATTGTAATTTTTATTTATTCATTGATGTAAAATTCTGTACTTTTTAGTAAGGCCGGTATAACTGAAATGTTCTACAAATGGAAAAGATAGCTCTGCCATAGCATTTCAGTCTTTTTTTATTTATGTTTTTTTATAATGTATTTTTCACCAAAGTATATATGCTGCTGTCCTTTTTTAGTGTACTTTATGAATATTTGTAATGTACACAACAATATAATACATTAACGTTTTCTAGATATCAAAGTGTGTACATGTGTGTGTATACTAAAAAAAGCAGCTTTATAATATACTAGTAGTATAATGCTAATGCATTTCCAATGAGCTGAAATACAATTGAAATGTACTTGAAGTACATTAAAACGATGCTTCAAATATACTCTTAACTGTAGTTCATGAAGTATTAAAAGGATATTTTAAATGTATTTTAAGAAATACACTTAAATTGCACTAAATATACTTAAAGTGGTTCCAATTTAACACAATTTCAATATATTAAATATATTACAAATAGATTAAAATCAAACGTAAACATATCTTGAAATACACTTAATATACTTAAAGTTGTTTCAAAATAATACATTTAATATGCACTTAGTATAGTATAATTTAAATATAGTAAGTATGTCTGAAAAAGTTAAATATATTTCTTTTTCACCTGGGATTACATAATTTCCTGACCTGTTCTACCATCATGTTTTTAGTTAGTCTGACTGTTGTTTAAATCTGATCAAAAATGTATTTGAAGGAATTTATGATCTGATTTTGTTTGTGCTGCTCCATACATGAATACAGAATACCAGAATGTCCTAGAAAAACAGGAGTGCATATTTGCTTATTCTTTTGAGACTAGACCTCGACTGATTAAGATAACAGACACGCACACACATAGCCACGCTCAGTGGCCATTTCCAATTTATGTACGGAAAACCAGTGCTGGGCAGGAAAAGACATGTGAATAGATGAAATGGGGGAGATCACAATCTAACTGATGTGCAAATCCAGTCAACTAGCTTTTTAAAAATATTACTTAATTTCTGACCGTAACCATGTTTACAGACTGAATGAGATGTACTTCATGCTCTTTGAACAGGTTGCTGAAATGCTGAGAGGTTATTACATCTGGTGGGTGAACTCAGGTCATTTGGGCTGCTTGTGCTTGCTTTCTCATAACCTTGATCTGGAAAAAAGATAAACGCATTTAATCACCATCTGTCCAGAGTGATACTGGTTTTATCTGAATAGTCACATTCCATTCACAGCACTCAGAATGCAGAATGCTGATAATATAACGCGCACACACACACACACTCAAATGTTTGTTTCTGTGAATTGTGGGGACTTTCTATAGATTTCTATTACTTTTATACTGAACAAACAATATTTTCTATCCCCTAACCCTAAACCTACCCCTTACAGAAACCCTGTTTGCATTGTTACACTTTCAGATAAACATCATTTACTATTTTTATAAATTGTTTTCCCTCGTGTTTCCCCACAATGTCAAAAAATTCAGGTTTTACTGTCCTTGTGGGGACATTTGGTCCCCACAATGTAGCATAAAGTACATACACACACACACACACGTTTACTGAGATATCTTAATAAGGGCAACCCAACAATTTGTTTAATTTATAGCTAATTATAAAAACCATAGAGGAGGTTTCCTATAAGTCTGTAGACTTGGAAAATAAAGGATTTATTTTGTTATATTGGAACCTTGCAGATTCCAAAATGTTTCAGTAGGAACAAAATATTAGATTAGTCTATCCAGAACGTCTATCCTCTGGAGAGCACATCCACTTGTGATGTTTGTTTGAAACGGCCATCTGTTTTATGTCTTACTTTACTGCTTATGTACAGCTTACAAATATTTTTAATATTTTTATTTTTAATAATTTTAATAATTATATACACTATAGGCTATGAAAATATTATAATCTCTATTCTAACTGTATTCCAATAGTAAAATAAAATTTTACTTCATGCTTGATACTCAGATCTGAGGTGTTTTACTGCGATACACAAGAGGGCAGTGTGACTCTACAGCAACAGTAGGATGAAAACAAAATCCAAAGACAATTGCATTATCATAGAACAAAAAAGATAGTTTATTTTGTTATATTGGAACCTTGCAGATTCCAAAATGTTTCAGTAGGAACAAAATATTAGATTAGTCTATCCAGAACGTCTATCCTCTGGAGAGCACATCCACTTGTGATGTTTGTTTGAAACGGCCATCTGTTTTATGTCTTACTTTACTGCTTATGTACAGCTTACAAATATTTTTAATATTTTTATTTTTAATAATTTTAATAATTATATACACTATAGGCTATGAAAATATTATAATCTCTATTCTAACTGTATTCCAATAGTAAAATTAAATTTTACTTCATGCTTGATACTCAGATCTGAGGTGTTTTACTGCGATACACAAGAGGGCAGTGTGACTACAGCAACAGTAGGATGAAAACAAAATCCAAAGACAACTGCATTATCATAGAACAAAAAAGATAGTTACATTTATAATTGAGTGTGATTGTTTCTCTAATTATTCCCTAATGATTGTTTTCCCTATGTGTTAGTCTATAAGTAGCCTATGAAGTAAGCAAGATGAAGGATTATTGTAAGTATGTTTGCATTTGGAAACTTGGGGAAGAATAGATTTGTGAATGGATTTTTCCTTCTTTTTCCCTCATCATGAAATTAAATTAGTAGTAGTTTTAAAACGTTTAAAATATTTCTAGTGTAATGGCGCGTAATGTGAGTGAGTCCAAACGACTACCACATCGACTAACACAACTTAAAGGGGTCATATGATGCGATTTCAAGTTTTCCTTTCTTCTTTACATTTATTTTGAAAGCTGAAGCTCGCGATTATGGTAAGGGGCGTTACATTTCCGACGAGTGCTTGCGGTGTTCGGCCAATCACAATGCACTGGGTCAGCTGGCCAATCAGAACAGACTGCGCTTGTCGGAAGGAGGGACTTTGTAGAAAACGAAGCGTTTGAGAGAGGCGGGGCATAGAGGACCTACAATAATGTACAGTATTTGAAAAATAATGTGTTTTTTGAACATTAAAGCATGTCAACATATTCTGTTACACCAACTACACAAAATAATGAGCTTTAAAAAAGCATCATATGACCCCTTTAAAACATTACTGGGTGCACTTTTTTACACAAACTCTTGTATTTATCGTACATCATGTAATAATAATTTAGCTGGAAGCATAATCCAAGTTATAGAGAGATCTTTTTATTTTATTTAAAAGATCACTTTATGAACGATTCCTGACTCTTGACTTTAGCTGAGGCTCCTTTAAAAAAAAGTATTGGCAGACTCGAGCTATCAAATTAATTATGCATCACATTCCATTAGTTATAATGAATTATAGAGCAAGCCATATTCAGTGATTCACTGAGCAATAAAAATGAAACCAGAAACTTAAAACAATTGATAGGTGAGTACATCATATCAAGTGTAGTAATGGTAGTAATTCATTACATTCATCTGCCTTGATAATGCCAGTGAATTATCTTAATTTTTAATCAAACAAAATATGTAATCACTTGCAATTTAATGTAACTAAATCAATCAATAAATAATTAACAGCCCTAATTAAAATATATTTAATTTAATTTACTACTTTTCCAGGAAGAATTCAGCTTCTGTTGTTTCTTCAGCTAATTCTGATACCAATTGTATTGTTGATTTTTTTTTATAAGTAAATTTGTACATTTTTAAAATGGGCAAATTAAATA